CCCCTCCCGTCCCCGTCTCCCCACACCGATGTCCCCGCGTCCCCCCGCGTCCCCAGGCCGGGGCGGGGGCTCCCCGTTATTTCCCAACGTGGCGCCCGACCGACCGGCTCCTACACCCGGCCCCGGCACAACCGGTCCCGCCGGTCCCGGCAACACCTCCCCGGGGCGGGACAGTCGGCGGCGACGCGCAGCCGGCACCGCGCGCCACAACTGCCGCCGCACAACTGGCACCCGCTCCTCACGGCACAACCGGCACCCGCTCCTCACGGCACAACCGGCGCGACACCGCTTGACACGGCACAACCGGCACCGGCACAACCGGTGATGTTCAGCCCCCAACAACCGGCCTCACCCACGGCAACCGGCGGATTGTAACCGGCGGCGTTGAGGGGCATGGCTCGGTGACGGTGACACCGCCGGGGTTCGGTTGACACCGGGCGACGGTGACACCGGTTTTGCTGACAGCGGCTCTCGGTGACGTTGGATCTCGGTGACGACGGGTTTTGGTGACGCCAGGTCTCGGTGAGGCTGGGTCTTGGTGATGTTGGGTTTTGGTGACGGTGGGTTTTGGTGACACTGGGTCTTGGTGACACTGGGTTTTGGTGACACTGGGTTTTGGTGACGCTGGGTCTTGGGGACACCAGGTCTTGGTGACACTGGGTCTCGGTGATGCCAGGTTTTGGTGACACCGGATCTTGGTGACACTGGGTCTTGGTGACGCTGGGTCTTGGTGACACCGGGTCTTGGTGATGCCAGGTTTTGGTGACGCCGGGTCTCGGTGAGGCAGGGTCTTGGTGACACTGGGTCTTGGTGACATTGGGTTTTGGGGACACTGGGTCTTGGTGACGCCGGGTTTTGGGGACGCCGGGTCTCGGTGACGCTGGGTTTTGGTGACGCTGGGTCTTGGGCACACTGGGTTTTGGTGACACCGGATCTTGGTGATGCTGGGTTTTGGTGACGATGGGTCTTGGTGAGGCTGGGTCTTGGTGACACTGGGTCTTGGTGACACTGGGTCTCGGTGATGCCGGGTTTTGGTGACACCGGATCTTGGTGATGCCGGGTCTTGGTGATGCCGGGTCTTGGTGACACCGGGTCTTGGTGACGCCAGGTTTTGGTGATGCCGGGTCTTGGTGACACTGGGTCTTGGTGAGGCTGGGTCTTGGTGACACGGGGTCTTGGTGACATTGGGTCTTGGTGACACCAGCTCTCAGTGACGCCGGGTTTTGGTGACACCAGGTCTCGGTGACTCCAGGTTTTGGTGACACTGGGTCTTGGTGCCGGGATCGGGCGCTGGGATGGACTGAAGGTGCCGGATCCGGTGACGGGATCGACCTGGGATCCATCAAGGGAACCAGGATCCGGCATCGGAATCGACCCAAAATCCAGGATCTGGCACCGAAATGGATGAAATATTTATGATCCGGGACAGAAATTGACGGAGGATCCGGGATCTGTTGTTTAAATTGACCAGGGATCGGGGATCTGGAGCTGAAACTGATCCGGGATCCGGGATCCAGCACCGAATCTGCCCAAATACCTGCGATTCCAACCCAAAAACCCATCAAGGATCTGGGATCTGGCACCGAAACGGACTCGATACCCGGGATCTGGAGCTGAAATTGACCGAATCCCTGTGATCTGCCACCAAAACTGAGCCGGCACCTGGGATCTGGCACCAAAACAGATGAAGAATCCGGGGATCTGGTGTCAAAACTGACCGGGGATCTGGGATTCGGCGCTGATAGTGACCAAATCCTCGTCTTCTGGCCTTAAAACTGATCCAGGATCTGGCACCAAAACTGACCCGGAAGCTGGGATCTGGCACCAACACTGACCTGGGATCCAGCACCAAAATTGACCCAGGATCTGGGATCCGGCACCAAAACTGCCCTGGGATCTGGGATCTGGCACCGACACCGACCTGGGATCTGGGATCCAGCACCTAAAAGTGCCCCGGGATCTGGGATCCGGCACCGACACCGAGCCAGGATCTGGGATCCACCACAGACACCGACCTGGGATCTGGGATCCAGCACCAAAACTGCCCTGGGATCTGGGATCTGGCACCTAAAACTGACCCGGGACCTGGGATCCAGCACCTAAAACTGCCCCGGCATCTGGGATCCAGCACCAAAACTGACCTGGGATCTGGGATCCGGCACCAACACCAACCCAGAATCTGGGATCCAGCACCTAAAACCGACCCGGGATCTGGGATCCAGCACCAAAACTGCCTCAGGATCTGGGATCTGGCACCTAAAACTGCCCAGGGATCTGGGATCCGTCACCGACACTGACTTGGGATCTGGGATCTGGCACCAAAACTGACCCGGGATCTGGGATCCAGCACCAAAACTGACCCGGGATCTGGGATCCGGCACCGACACCGACCTGGGATCTGGGATCCAGCACCAAAACTGAGCTGGGATCTGGGATCTGGCACTGACACCGGCTCAGGATCTGGGATCCAGCGCTGACACCGACCCGGGATCTGGGATCCAGCACCAAAACTGACCTGGGATCTGGGAATCCGGCACTGACACCCACCGGGGCTCGGTGATCCGGCGCCGGCTGGGCCGAGGGCTGTTGGAGCTGGTCGGGATCGGGGCCGGAGCGTGGTCGGGGGGATCCCTCGGGGGATCGGGGATCGGGGGGTCGCCATGCCCCGCGCCTTCCTGGTGAAGAAGCCGTGCGTGGCCACGGCCAAACGCAACTGGAGCGAGCTCCCGGACGAGCAGCGGGCGGAGATCTACGTCCCCAGTAGGTGATCGGGGGGGG